AGGTGAGCAATCCAGGCAACTGTCCTGTGGGGGTGGGGGTGGGAGCACATGTGCCAGCAGCAGACTCAGGCCAAGGCTAAGAAAGCCAGCACCTGATGCCCCTCAAGGCTGATAATCAGCGCTGACTCCTCCTTAGAGACCTACGTCTATCCCTCTGGGTCATGGGGTGAACTGGTGCCTGTCTGAGGCTGGGGCTGCTGCCAGCCTCTCCCAGCTTGGGTTTTCTGACTGCCCTTTTCCTGAGGAGGCCACATGGAACAGGGCAGAGGCCTGCCTGGGAATCTGTCCTGGTCCCTGCTCCATTCTTTTCTGACTATGCAACTTTTGGCAAGGCTGAGTCTGAGTCTACTCTTCTGCAAAGTGGTTGTAATCAGTGAGGCTCCAGAGCTTTTTATAGGAGGCACTTAGGGACTCTAAGGAAGGAGGTGTTGGGAAGTTGTCTACAAGCACCTATACACCATTTTGCTTAGATTACAGGTTTGTTAGGGGTGGGCTGGGGCAGGAGGAGACAGGGCGATGTGGAAGCCCCTCCCAGCCACCTTTTGGTGCTGCCATGGTTACAGGAGTCAAACCCTGCCTCCCACACAGGGGGTTGTGATGGTCAAATGAGATCATGTAGTCAAGACTTTGGGGATTGTAATGCTCTCAACAGATGGAGCGGATTATTATCTCCTCCTAAAGCAGGACCCTAGCCCTTCGCCTGGGACCCTGACCAGCATTGCTTGCCGATGGATCAGCGTGGACTCTTCTGTGACGAGGCTTTCAATGAGCACTTTCCCAGCTGTGGACGATGCCCCAGGTGGTTATCTGGCTCCCTCCTAAACCAGGGACTTGTTTGGATCTTCCAAACCCCTCAAAGCATTTTTTTTCTGGGGGAAACCTCCCTGCTCATCAGCAGCCCAGCTAGTCCTCCAACCAGGCGGTAAGACCTTCAGAGGCAAAAGGTGGCCGCTGCCCAGTGGCTTCAGGAACAGGCGGGATGCTTGTGAAAAATTCTATAGCCACATCTTTCCCCAAGTCTTTTTTTTTTTCAAGCTTTTTTTTTTTCGGTAGGGGAGAGGTAATTAGATTTATTTATTAATTTTTAAAAATGGAGGCCCTGGAATTGAACCCAGGACCTCGTGCATGCTAAGCACATACTCTACCACTGAGCTATACCCTCTCCCCACCATAGCCACATCCTGGGTCTGAGGAATCAATTTCTGGGAGTGGGCTGGACCAATCTGTGAGGTGTTTTTGGTTTTGCTTTTGTTTGTTTTGAATCACAAGCATCCCTGATTATTGTTGTACAAACTCAATTTGAGTTTTGGAAAGGGTTGATCGTGGGATCTGGTCCCCTGCCCAGATAGAGTTCTTGCAACCCATTCAAATTCAGGAGAATAGTTCCCAATTTTAAAGTGCTCACTTGTCCCTGGGAGGCGATGAAGTGACAGGAACACACCAAATATATCAGCCATATATTCCTTTCGGGAAAGTCAGCTGAGATAGTGCAGAAGGAAACTCGGGAATGAAAACAGGATTTTAAATGTATTTGGCAATTTTGCTAAGGACAGAAGCTCCTGTCTGTGTGGGAAAAGACAGAAAACTAGAGGAAGGCTCGCAGGGGCATAGGTGAATGCTCCCCTCAGACTCAGTTCACACAGCAGCTCTGCCAGGCCACCTTCCTTCACCCACCCCTGCCCACCCCACCCCCACCCACAGAGTTCATCCTTGCTAATGCGCTTCAGCAGGAGGCACAGACACCCTCCTCAGCACTTTCTCACCATTAAAATTCTCCATATGTCTGTCTTCACCAGACTGTGAGAGTTGGCATCAGGTCTTGCTTGGCTCTGCAACCTATCCCCTGGCCCAAATTACTGTTTAATGTTTGTTGAATGAATATACGAACAAATCCCACAATTAAGCCGTGGGACAGAAACCTAGAGAAGATTTTGAATTTTAAGAGACAATTTAAAGAAGAAGAAAACAGAAGTCTTTATCGTGCAAGTCATTATCCTTATAAATAATACAGGGAAAACAAACAGGCAGAGGAAGGATTAGGTGAATCCCTTCTTGATAGTTCTGGAAGTGAGTACATAATTCAGGGAAGTGGGTCTGACGCAGCATGGCTGTCCCAGGGATCACTAGGTGACCTCTAGAGTATACAAATCAAAGCTAAAGCATCTCTTTCCCTCCTTACTTGTTCCAAAGGAGGCTGTAGCATCAAGCCTAGGATTTTTCCCTTTTGAAGGTGATAGATTTTGCACCTAGTTTCTAGGGCAGAACCTCTTCACTCCTTGCTGCCTTCTCTCCCAACCAGGGAAGAGTGCTGCTTGTCTTCCTCTTCTAGTGGTCATCGAGGGAATGGGGGTGTTAGCTAGTGCCGTCTTCACCAGGCAGGAAACTGCTTTCCTAGAAGCTGGCTTTTCCAACTCTGCTTTGCTGGAAGCAGAGTCCTCTGCTCCCATCTCAAATCCACTCTGTTCTCTGAAATGCTCCAAAAGTAAGGGGGGGGAGGGAAGAGAAACGTCTGATTGGATGAGAGACAGCGGACACTCTCCAGGAAGCAGCCTGGCCCTCCCTGCAGCTCCCGGGGGTGCTCACGGTGTTTCTGCACAGAAGCAGGTTCTGGGCAGCGCGTGTCCCACACTAATGAACTCATCTACAAAACAGAAAGAGACTCACGGACATAGTAACAAACTTACGGTTGTGGGGGAAGTGGTGGGAAGGGATAAACTGGGAATTCGAGATTTGCAGATATTAACTATATATAAAATAGATAAACAACAAGTTTCTTCTATATAGCACAGGAAACTATATTCAATGTCCTGTAGAAACCAATAATGAAAAAGAATATGAAAAGAAATATATGTATGTGTATGTATGATTGAAACATTATACTGTGCACCAGAGATTGACACAACATTGTAAACTGACTATACTTCAATTAAAACAAACAAACAAAAAAAAACAAAGAAAAACTGCTGGCATCTTAGACCAAATAAGACTGTGGCACCAAACTATACTATACTGGTGGCCATTGGATTCTTCACCATTATGCATTTGCAGTTAAAAAAAAAAAGTCAGTTTCACCTAAGAATATCCTTGATGAAGGAGTAAAGCTATTGGATCTTGATAATTGGGTACGTGGCTTTTTAATATCGTGTGTTGATATGGGAAGTATGTATAACACGCTCTTCCACACCAAAGTGTGAGGGTTGTTTAGAGGAAAAGCACTTACACAATAATTTGAGCTGCAAGCTGAACTGGAGGCTTCTTTTCATAGAACACCATTTTCTCTTGAAAGAACGACCGACATAAATGTCAGTTAGTCACACTTGGGCATTTGGCAGTATTTTCTCAAGAAGCAATGAAGCAAGTTACTTCAAGAAATAACTGACAGAATTTTTTTCCAATGGTAAGAATCAAGTCTTCAAGATAAAATTAGCATTTTGGAAATCCTGCATCTGCCAAAACAAGTTTTAGAATATTTGTATGAGCTTGACTAATTCCCAATACTTAAAAGAATTTGTGATGAGATCAGAGTATAACAAACGTGACTTGCCTCACATCATATAATGAAATATATCAGTATTTGGAAGAGCTGCATAATGCAGTGAAATCATATTTTCCAAATGCCAAAGCATAATGTTACAAAGTCATGCATGGGTAAAGATCTATTTAAAACACAAGACAGACTGTTAGATTTTCATGTAACAAAGTACAAAAAGTTTTTGACACGGTTTCGGATTCCACATAGCAACTAACCTTTACCAGTTCAAACTGTGGTATAGCATTAAAAAATATCCAAAATTATCTGAAAAGGCGAGTAAAATATTTTTCCTTTCCAACTCCCATATGTGTGCAAAGCTTTTCTTCAAACATGCAAAACGGTGTATCTTTACAGACTGAGTAAGAATCTGATATGAGAATCCAGCTGTCTTCTATAATGCCAGGCATTAAAGTTTTGCAATCTTTAAACATTAAAAAGTGTCACCGTTCTCTCTACCTTCGTTTTGCTTTGGTAAATAGTTATTTTTCATAGAGATGTAATTTATGTTAAGATGTAATGAAGTTACTTTTAAATGAATAAAATATTTTTGTTTTAGTTTCTAATATGATAAATATTGACAGATACAACTCACAAAACAGTTCTTTGGGATCCTCAACGAATTTTCAGTGTAAAACTGAAACCAGAACCTTTGGAAGTCACTGCCTTAGACTAATCTTCCATCCAGCCTCCAGTCTCTATTACAATTTCCTTAATAGATGCCAACCCATTTGTTAGTACACGGGACCAGCTTTGGGAGGATCTGGAGCAGGCAGCCTCCTGCCCGGTCTGAGTTGAGTGTTACAGCCACCATGCCCCTCCTCCCCAAATATCTTTTCTATTGACCCCCTACAGAACCTCAAATTTTCCCCTTTGATATTCTTTTGGTATAAGTCACTTGAACTTCTCTCTTTAAATCTAAATACATATAAACGGTATTCGTTGCTAGTTTCCAATCATTAATGCATTAAAATAGCAGCCAACTTTTGAACGTTGAGTACATCAAGCTTTATTCTAAACACTTTTCATGTATTATCTCATTGAACCTTATGAAGAATGAACGTTTATCATACCCTACTGTCAATGAAGAAACTTGTACATTGGTTTTATTACATCAATCAGCAAAGCCTTGAGAAAAAGTGCTACATTCTCTAGGATATAAGGTACCACACAGGCATGCTACCAGGAGGAAAAGATAGAGGACAGCCTGGAGCTTAGGTGTTGTGTCATGATGGCCACGGAGGACGGCCCACCTGGCCAATGAGAGTCCGGCACCAAAGTAAGGCGAGGAGATTGAGCCCTGACTGCTTTGCTGGTTCAGCCCTGACCCTGACCCTGACCCTGATGGGCTTTGTTCCTTTGTGTTCCACAAACCACCTCTCTCCCTTGGCCCATTCTGAAATCCTATAATCCATATCCACTCCCCATGTGTACTGAAGTATCAGAATTAAAAAAAAAGCACCATACAAAATTAACATTAAAAAAATAAATTTATCTCAAATCTCAAATACTGAAGAATAAGCATACAGATAAACAGCACAAAGAGCTAATTTGAACTTGAAAAATGACTTAAGACAGGCATTCTTCTGGCAATACTCTTGTTTACAGATATTTTTAAAACACATTTTTAAAGACATTTCTCCAACATTCACAAAATGCAAAAGCTATATTTGCAACACTTATAAATAAATACAAGAGCTTTAGAAAGCATCCAGTTTCTTCCTAAAATTACTTGATTAAAATTTGCACAAGTCATGGTTATCCAACTCCATTTCCCAAAGATATGACATATAATTATATGACATTCTTCTTTGACATATTATAGACAAACGTAACTCAAAAACACAGAAAAATTATCAATTCATTTTGTGTTTTGTCACATCATATTTCATTCTTTTTCTAATCAACAAGGAAAAATACACATGATATATGTATATATGATTTTCAGAAATAAGATATTTCAACTTTTATCTATAATTTGTTCAAAACCTCAGGAATTCAATAGGTACATTATTATTTTAAACAACACTGTCAGTTTAAAAATAAAGACAATAACTTAGAGGAGGGACCGTAAGATATATTTTTGGCCATAAAGCCTGCGATGTAAATATCTAAGGAGGTTAATGATTCAGCAGATTCTGCCTGAGCTATCACCAAATGAATAAAAAGGCAAAAAACAGATTTTAAATTCCCGGTGTCTACAAAGTAAGAGCCACAGTTGTTTATTCAATTGTCTCCAGCTAGATTTAAGTTCCTGTGGTACAGTGATTCAGTCTACCCCCTGATGAGCGCATTTAAGACTCAAAAAATATCTTTGAGATCGAATTTAAGATGTTCATTTCACAGATGAGGAAAATGCTGCCTGGAGATTTACAGGGAAGCTAGAAACAGATCCAGGACATGGATCGCAGTTCCGGATTCCCAGCTAAGCTCTTCCGGGAACATGTTCCCCAGGGTGAGAGTCCACGTAATTTAGTGCCGCTTGGTTTCAGAGAATGTTGTAATTTCAATATAAAGCAAAGCATATACTACAACCAAATCAGAATTACTAATTCACTTCAAGGGTATTCAAGGGTATACCTGATTCGCTTTTTGGGTTTAATGTGAACATAAAATAAATATTACGACTGTTTAAATGCCATTACTGTGAAGATATTCCCTCTCAGCTTAGAGACTCACGACACGAACAACATTTAGATTCTCACTGTAAACAAAATGCAGTGGTAGGCACTGTGGAAACACATTTGGTCCTGTTCTCCGTACCCTGAGCATGTAAAAGAGCAGGCTGTCCCAACAGCACGGAGCCTATGCGCATTCTTGGTGAAGAAGAAAAGAACCTACTCTCATGATACACTGTGGGACGCAGACCTGGGCACAGTGTTCCTCAGAGGATAATGGTCATAAAAAACGATGCTGCGGAATTAGAACAGACAGCATTTCAAGAGGTCTCTACTCAGTGGGAACCCCTAGGCTATCTGAAGTTCTTATAGAGTCCGTACCTCTAGGAATCTTCAAGATAAAAGTATATATAAGGTGTGAAAAGTATATATAAGGAAATCATGAAAAAGCCAGTAACACATAGGATGAAATTTTCCTACTAGAAAGTTGTATATTGAAAGAGTAAGAAAAGCAATGGATACAAAACTATTCTATTTCAAGTTGGAGTGAAAAAATATAGTGTTCATATTCACACCGTGATGGGAAGGCAGCACAGAGAAGAACTCGAGGGAATGAGTCTGTGTCTGGGCTCCTTCACTTAATTGGAACATAGCCTAAGACCAAAGTTATGGGTTCAGTCTGCACACATTTATGGCCATTGACAGTACCTGTTACAAAGCATTTTCTAACAAGAAGGTATGAAATGGGAAAACCGTAGAGGTCATCTGGAAGGGTCACTTGGTGGGTTAGAAATGTCATATTGTTTTACTGTATTCACACGGAGGGGGCTTGGACAGCTGGTCTGAACGATGGAAAGAGAGACAACTAGGAATATATTGTATACCTAGTTCCACTGGATAGTTTTATACAAATGAACTGCATGTACTGCTATGGGACTTGAAGGGATTGGGACTGCCATATTATTATTTTAGAAAGCCTTCTAAGCTTCCATTGTCTACAGAAAGAAAAACATTTACTTTGGAAAAACAAATGTCAAGAAGCTTACTTTTAGATCAACAATATAAGATGGGACACTTGGATAAATGTGTAGTGTTAAAATGATGTGAGCAGAAGTATTTTAAGCAAAATGTTGCTTAATAACAATCAAGTAAAAACAGTAACTGCAGTTACAAGTCACAAAATAATTTTCAAGTAAGTGTCCATTCCCCATAACCCATAAACTAATCTTTACTACTCAGTTATCACATGATATTAACTTTTCCCTTTACCTCAAATTGCTAATTCTGACTGCTTAGACATGAGAATAGTTTTTGATTCCTGGTCTGTGGGACTATCAACTGGTACCTGTAGAAAGAATCAGAAGATAAAAAATTTGTAGTACATATGTGACATATGCCATTATGACAGATCAACAGTTGGTTCACGAATGAAAAAAAAAATAACTGACTAGATAGACTGGTTTACACTTACTCTATGCACACATTTCTCAATAGTATAGTCATAAAAATATTCATTACTTACAGCTTTAATATCACCATTTGTAATTCCTTTGTTGATATTGTGTCTTTTCAGATCCGACTTGATCAACGCTGAAAACAGAAGTGGCAATGGAGTTACCACAGAGTATGTACAAATATACATTTTTCTAAGCAGTGCGAAACAAAGTCTTTTCTGATACTGTAAATGTAGCATACTATAGTACCATAATATTCTACAACATCCTTGTAGCCTGAAACAATAACATTTAAGCCATTAACTTAATTAGCAAGTCATTCATTAGTGAACAAATACAGGACGCTAAGGACCAAGAGACAAAGATGAAAAGCGCAATTCTTCCATAATGGGCCCTCTAATCTAGAGAAATGTTGACATTCAAACAATTAGAACACTGCATAACAACTGCAGGAATGCAGGCCTGCACAGGGTGCATGGGAGCGTGGGGGAAATGCCTGTGTCAGCTGGAGGAAATCGGGGAAGGCTTGCAAAGGAACATATTTGAACTGAAGTCTGAAAAATGAGTAGGAACTTGTCAAGCAGATGAGAGGAGAGAGGAAGGCATTCTAGGCAGACAGAAACCAGTATATGCCAAGAAATCAGGATAGGAAGAGTACAGCCTATTCTTGGCACTCAAGGTAGTTTGGGATCATTGGAGCATCAAGCACAAGAGGGAGGTGGCAGGACATGAGGCTGGGTTGGTGACACTGCATCTGAGTAGGGGGGACATGATCAGGCCTGCACATCTGGGAGCTCAATCTGGCAGCTGCGTGGAGGACGATCATCAGCAATGAGACCAGAGGCAGGAAGGCCAGTCAAGGGGCTTTCATTCTGTTGAGAGATGGTAAGAGCTGAATGTGTGAGAAATGGTGATGGAGGAACAGAGTTCAGAGATATTTTAGAGCAGAACCAACGAGAGCTGTCAGTATTGGAAAAGCAAAATGCACTGCATTCATTCAAATGTTAGTTCCTATGTCAAAAAGAAGACCTGCCAACAATTACAGGACAAAAATGTAAAAAAAAAGGTACCACCTTCACCACACCTCAGGAATTTCCCAGCCCCTTTTCCTGTCTATACAAATGACTACCGAATATAAATCCATCACGCTTTCTCCAGTAAAATACTCAACATATGAGAGACATCAGTCAGCATTTCTGGATGGTCAAAGTATCAATGCAAAATTAATTTTAAAGATCTTTTTTTCACTTTTTAATGAATTTTCTGGACTTCGGTTTTTTGAATTAACATTTATTAGTCATTATAAAATAATATGAAAAGAGAATACAAAACTGCTCCCTTTTTTTTGGTGCAACAATAACACTCTATTTGACAGCTATATGTTATTTCCCTAGAAATTAAGAACCAACAAGGAATTACTTGTGACAGATCAGCAGTTAAGGCAGTTAATGTATCAAACTACATACATTCAGTTAAAAAACATTCAGTTTTGTATGTTTTATTTTACTAACTGAAGAGAATGGGAGAAAACTCCTTCACGGTAAGATATTTTTCTTCGAGGAAACAGGGTACAATCAGTTCCTTTGAGTGTACGAATCAACGATGGTGACCTTAGGTGGTTGTGTATTTCCAAAATAAGCGTTTATCATTGGTAAGAGTGGTGAGAGTTCATACTGGGCGTTTCAGAAAGAACAATCAGGTATTCAACAAACATAAAAAGAAGTCTTGGTTCATGTATTTCTGTTAGATTCCATCCTTGAATTAACTTAGATTAAAAATAATCATCCCTCTTCAAGTCTCCATGGCTTCTCTCTCATGTCGGTAAAGGGATGCAGAGAGAAATTAACAGCGTGAAATAACAGGAGAGGCCAACATGGGCCTGGAAGTGCTGCTGGACATAAATCTTGCTTCTAAATCCATCCTTATACCCATGTGCCTGGATAAAGTATGGATGAAAGCCCTTTACAAGCTCTCTTCCTGGAGAGTGGGCACTACTCTCCTCCCTGCCCAGGGCTACCCTGATTATTCCCAAGAAGAACTGGCAGACAATTCCACGTGCTGTTTACAACACCACCACCGACTTCTTACCACGGTTACCATATAATAACAAAAGCCTGCATGATCAGGCCTGTCCCATGTGCCAGACACTAGAGCTTTTCATCAGCCATCTCAGTCAGTCCTCATAGCAACTCTCTAAAGCAGGCCTTTAATACCCTGATATACAAAGGAGAAAAGGAGGATGTGAGAGGTTAACTTGAGTAAAGTCACACAGCTAGTGAGCAGCGGAATCAGAACTTCAGGCCAGGTTTGTCCATTCTAGGTCCTGACCAACTCATTCCAGTGGTTTTGTTTTCTGTGCATAGTAATTGTACTGAATTTGAAATCTCAAAAGTGAATCACAGATTCATATCCTTGGAGGCAAACAAAAATATCCTACTTTTTAATCTTATTTTTTTTCTTGTGTTTTACTGAGCCACTGAGAAGCAATATAAATAAAAACTAAATATAAAGACAATGTGACACAAGCACTTTTGGCAGGCAAATATCCTAACTTACCTGTTAAAATGATGCCTACAAACATCCAAATACAGAGAAAAATGTTTCCTGCCTGAGGACCATAGGCTGATGTGAGCCTTCCTTGTGCCAACGTGAAAAAAATTCCAAATATCTAAAATAAAAGAAGAGAAATAATTTTTAATAAGTTTGCTTCTTTAAAATAAATGTAACAAGTTTCTTCTAGCATGGAAACTATAGTCAATATCTTGTTGTAACCTATAATGAAAAAGAATATGAAAATGAATATATGTATGTGTATGTATGACTAAAACAATATGATGTACACCAGAAATTGACACACTGTAAACTGATTATACTTCAACTTAAAAAAAAAAGCAAAACTTTTCAACTTATATGAAGTTCAAAAAAAAAAGTAATTTTTTTCCCCAGAACTTTTCTTAACTATTTTATTCATATGATTTGGCTTCTAGAAATATGCACTGAAAGGTGGAATTTTTAAAACAGAAACTATGGTCAAACTTATTATCTGCTGGAATATTTGGTAAACTAATCATTTCAGATTTAAGAGAAATCAGATGTTTACCTGTGCAGCAGCATTAAGAAGACCAGAGGAAGTACCTTCAGATTCTGGGTAAGTAATTTCAACAGCAAATTCAAAACCCAAGGGGAGGTAACCAGTCATGAAGAAACTAAGAAAATAAATCCAAAATTACATAAAGAATCATTAGAAGGACTCTATCACATATTGATGCAATTGCTCTACTTCTCAGACCTACTCTAATGACCAAATAAGTGAATGTTTTGAAGTCGGTAAGTGCAACGAAGGCACTATTATTATTCACCAGTTAACCCAAGGACATGAGAACTGAGAAGTGAATTAATGAATTAGGAAGCAAAACAATTTCTAATTTTTTCCTGAGAAAAATTTACCTCTGGTTTTCTAAGTGAATTGTCTTTCTAGCCAAATAAAGCTACTTGGATTAAGTAGGGCTTATCCATTTTTCATACAGCATATACCAAAAAAATTTTTAAGCTGTTTTTTATAGTTCTAAAGAATTACATGAGGGGAAGGTATAGCTCAGTGGTAGAATGTATGCTTAGCATGCACGAGGTCCTGGGTTCAGTCCCCAGTACCTCCATTAAAAAAAAAAAACTTAAAATAAATAAATAAATTTAATTACCTCCTCCCCCCAAAAACCCCCACAAAATAAAAGAATTACACATTTACATGCACAGGATAGATCCTTTAAAGTTTAAAATATTAAAGAAACTTTTAAAACATTAAAACCCACAGTAGTAATACCTCAGGATTATAACAATGCTATCATTCCTCTGAAACATACTTGATGCTTACCCGAGCAACCCTCCAGTAACAAACACGATGATAATGTGTCCAAGGTCTAGGGTGAAAGTAAATATAACCATTCCAACAAAAGACGAAATGTAAACTGTCAGAGTAGTGTGTCTAAAACAAAAACAACAAAACTGTTAGTATTTGGTTGGGTTTTCTTAGGCACATAAAATCATGTAGTTAGCTGTTGCTCTGTCTATACAATAGTACATTCTTCCAGTTTCAAGATCCACCCTTTCTTATCAATGGAAAATGATTCCACCAAAGCATGGACTTTAAAGATTAAATTTAAGTTTCAACAGCAGCAGATAGCAAAACCCACATCATATCCAATGCTCAGACAGGAAGGAATACTCATAGGGATAAAACATTTTTATGCCACCAAATGGCATAGTTCCCTACCCGCATTTCAAGATTCAGGTCAAATTCCACCTCTTCCAAAATGCCCTTCCTAATCACTGCAGCTTGCAAGATTCTCTCTTCCAAACGCTCTAATAATTTTGTCTACATAATTGGCACTTGATATCCATTTTGGTCTGTTATATTATTATTTAACTTTTCATATATGAACACCTTATTTTTCCCAATTAGGCTGCAAATGTCCTAAGCACAGGGATCATACATTGCTTGCCATGATTCCTAGCTCAGAGTGATGCGCACAACAGGGGCTTGGTGAATGAATGGTAGTTACCCTGAGAAGAAAAGTAGGGCAACAGAGAACACATATGCTTACCTATCCAGTTTTCTAATTATATAACGGGCCAAAGCCTTAACAAATTTAATCCTTTATGCTCCCATCATCTACAAATTTAACAGTTCCACTCTAAGCTACTATTTCATAATAATGAAGCCACAGTAAGTGCTGTCTTAAATTATGGGAGAACCATCTTCGAGAATTTCAAGATCAGAGGCACTTTGGAAGGGTTCAGATAATGGTATCAAATGTATCTTGGGACTTGAAAGGTGCATAGGACACATTTCCATTACTTCATTCATTCCTTTTGTTTCATTCCCTTCATTCATTCACAGCTCCATTCATTCATTTCTCCCAAGTAGCTGGGAAGTTTCTGTTAAAAAAAATGTAGCTATCCTTTTAAGGCCCAGGGACAAAGATGTTGCGTCTGAGATCCCTTTCTCAGTCTCCCAGGTGGCATTACTCACTTTTTCTTTTGTATTAGCATTTTTCTGGTTCCATATAGATGTACAATTAATATAGCATTTTCATATTATGTATTACAGTATTATAGTTCAGTGGTGCTATAATTCAGGGGCATTTTAGCCAAAAACTTTTTACCAAAAAAGCCTTATCCCCAATAATAATTTTTTGATAGTAAAGAACTTTTATTTGTTTGTCTTTAATTTACAACATGAGAAAAGAGCAATATAGAGTCACTGTCAAAAGTCCAATGTTTCTCAGAAAGGGCTCTTTTTGGGATAGAAATGATCCATTTCTGAAGCAGTATGTAAGGGGAAGAAAGTTCATAAGGTATCCAAGTTCTCGGATTTGAAATAAATATGACCAATAAGATAATACACAAACTACTGAAACATTCACAAGTAAAGGGAACTTAAGAGTGTCTAGAACCCAAGTCTTTTAGTAATAACAACACTTTGTAAATTTCTTAAAATAAAAAGCAAAGGTTCCTTTAAAATCAAAATACCTTAGGGTGTACACTACACATCTGCCTACTTTCACTTACTTGTATGTTTTGGTATAATCCAGCCATAAGCCACAAAGGATAGAGCCCACCATTCCAGCCAATACGAGTGTTAGCCCGATCCTTCCAGCATTCACTTCTTCTCCCTTAAAACAGTTTTCAAAAGAAGTTAATCAGATACTTCTAGTTCAGTCCTTCATTCTCACACCTTCTTATAGTCAATGGAAATAATCAGATAAAATTAAGCATATAATGTAACAAGATTTCAGCACATGTGTTAGGGCGAAGGGGTAGGGGGCAGGCAAAGCACATATAAAGGACATTCTACATTAAAAACAAAAAAAATTACCCTGATTTATGGGAGAAATCAAAAAGAAATTTTTTCTTGATCTTTCATGGTTAGAAATGATTTTTGTTAGAATTCTTAAGTAATTCACAACGTCTGAAAAGGAGGTTAATCTAATAACTTTTACATATTACAACTGAGTTCTACTTTCAAAAGCAAAGAGAGGTCAGAACTTGATATTTACTTCTTTATATTTGTGTTGGTTTCTTTTAAATTTTGTTCTCTATCTTTTCCCATATAACCAATCACACTATCTCTTTAAAGAAGAATTAAAAAAAAAAAAAAGACTGATGTATTGTCAAGGCAATAATGACTTCTGCTTTCCATGTTGTATTTAATAAATTGTATTAAGTGTATTCTCAATTAAAGCAAATATAAATCTTTTACAGCAATAAGATGATAAATCTTTAATCTCATGATCATGCTGATAGGAATTACATTGCTAAAACATTCTTGGCCAGGCATGTAACACAATATAGACAGAAGTTTACCTCATAATATGTCAGTATCATTTGATTTAATAATGTTGAGACTGAATAAAATGCTCCAGTCATGATACCTATAACAATAAACAGAAAACCATAAATATACCATTTGCCAGTTCATAAAATGACATGGAGCACTCTGTGACAATTGTGAAAATACAACATCTTCTTAGACAGCTGACAGAAGGAATTAAGATCTCTTGCTATTCCCTTTCAGGATATGGACTGATCAATGTAACACCTAAACTTATCATGATTAGTAGAATTCTGATTGTAGATTTCTGTCATTTTACCATTTCTTATTATTTAGATTCAGACATACTGACCAGAAATCATAGTCCCATGCATAACACTGTATATGACAATCACGCCAACAGATTGCTTACTGAGAGCTTAGTTAAAGCATCAAGACAAAATCCTTACTTCAGAGATCTCACCTCTGCATCAAAGACTTACAAGGTAATTAGTAAGACAATGTTAATTTAAGAATACTTTAAAATAGAAAAATAAAAGCATATGGTTATCAGGTTTGATATCTTGAGAGCCTATGACTAGGTTTGAACCCTGGTGTTTCTTCACACATATTGTATGACTTTAGGTCTAAGTCTCCTAACCTAGCTGAGATTTAAGTTGACTATTTTTCTATTATTAAATATTTCAAATATATAAAGTGTTGGTGAATAATTTAATAAATATCCTTACTCATCACCCATCATTGTCAAACATCAACATTTTGCCATCTTTGCTTCAGATTCATTTTTTTTTAGACCTTCCTTAATCCTATTCTTCCTCAGAGGTAACCCCTATCCTGATCTTAGTGTTCATCATTTTTTAGATATTATAATATATGTGTATCCATAAACAACAGTTAGAATTATTCTGCATATATTTAAACTTTATAAATAATAAATTTATTTGTATCTATCTGCAGCTTGCTCTTATCACTCAATATCATGGTTTTGAGATTTACCCATGTTGATACTTTCAGTTCTAGTTCATTAGTTTTCTCTGCTGTATAATAGTCTGTTGTGTGAATACACTCCAATTTAATTATCACTTATCCTAAGTCAATAGACACTTTAAGGTTTTTTACAGTTTTTCACTATTAACAACAATAGTGCAATGAATATTATGTTTTTGTTTTGTTTACATATAAGGTTTCTCTAAGTATATATAACTAAAAGTAGAACTTCTACTTTCTAGATCTAGCCAAATTGCTCTTCAAAATGGTTGTACTAACAGCAGAGTTCCTTTACTCCACATACTTGACAATTTGTTTTCATCAGATTAAAAAAGAATTTTTTTTTTGCCAATTTAAATGCATGTGATATCATATTTTACTCTGGTTTTGATTTGTGTTCCTTGATTACTAGTAATGTTGAGCATCATATATGAACAACACACACACACACACACACACACAAACATATAAATGCCTTCTTACTTCCCTGGACTGTTTGCTCTTTTCTTATTAATTAGTAGGAGTTATTTTTATATTGTAGGTACTAAGCCTTTGTTAGTTATATGTATTGCAGACATTTTCTCATAGTCTATGTCTTACTTTTAAATTTTTGGTATCTTTTTAGAAAATACCATTTTAATGTAATCATACTTATCAATCTTTTTCTTTAGGGTTTCTGTTTTTTGCATTAGGAAATTTTTTTAAGAATAGTAAAGATGGTTTCCTATATTTGCTTCTAAAATGTTAAAGTTCTGATTTTTACCCTTTGGTCTTTATTCATAACTCATTTTTGTGCATGATATAAAGGAGAGACCTTTATTTTACCTTACTTTTCTCATATGGATAATCGATTGTCCCAGGGCAATTTACTATAAGATTATCTTCTACAAACATTAAGTTTTCATATATGCATAATGTTCTAACCATCACAGCTGAAATATTCTAGTGTTTCTCTTTCAGGTACTTAGTGGCATAGCCATATGACTTTTCTCTTTTAATTGAAGTACAGTCAGTTACAATGTGTCAATTTCTGGTATACAGCATAATGTCTTAGGCATGCATATATACAGATATATTCATTTTCATTAAAGGTTATTATGATACTCAATATAGTTCCCTGTGCTATACTGAAGAAATTTACTTTTCATCTATTTTTATATATAGTGGTTATTATTTGCAAATCTCAAAACTCCCAAAAATCCAAGAGTCTGGATAAAGAATTACAGTAACGAGGAATACTATTACCTGAATCTAGAGTACAGTATTTGTCTGAGTTTCAGACAGCAAGTAGCAATAGTTGGGATAGTAAGGGACCATGTTTTCTCCAAATAGCCCTAACTCAACAAACAAACAAACAAACAAACAAAAAACCCCGCAAAAACTGTCTTAGTCTATTTGGTTCCTGAATTATTTGGACACTACAAAATCCTAAAAACCTGTCCTCAGAGTGTAGTCCCTATCCAGACTATCCCATGTGCAAGTCTGCTCCGACCTTACATATACAATATTAGGCATAGAGGCGGACAGGTACGCTTCCAAAAGGTGTGACGTGATTCTCACTCAATCAGACATTATGGTCCCTAACCATGCACCCCTTTGGTGATGAATATGATGTAGAGAAACTTCTCCAACTGTCCTGAGGAATATTTTTCAACTCTCCACAGTGTTTCCCAACTCCTTCTTCCAAATTCTTTCAACAAATAAACTCTGTTCAGTTTCTGAAGCCTGTGTCCATGTCTGGCCTCTCCATCAATCCAAATCTACCACTGGGATTTGTTAATACCATGGTCCTGCGAGGTTAACCGGCCTTATTACAATCCTGAGTCATCCATAAACATGGTATATTCCTCTGCTTAATTTAGATCTTTTCTTATGTTTTTCAAAGTTTTATAATTTTACAATTTATGAAGTAATTTTGGTGATTTATTCCTAGGCATCTTATACTTTTGATTCCTGTTATAAAAGGTATCTTTTTATAGGAATGCAATTAATATTTTCACATTGTCAGGTATCTAATAATCTTGCTGAACCCATCCATATTAGTTCTAATAGAGTCTGTAGGTTCTCTTGCATTATTTTTGTAGACCATGGAGTCAGCAAACATTTCCTGTAAAAGGCCAGACAGTAAATATTTTCAGCTGAGGTGGTTACTCGGTGCTGCCCTTATAGTTCAAAAGCAGCCATAGATGATATGTAAGTAAACAAAACTTTATTTGTAAAAACAGGCAATAGCTAGATTTGGCTCATAAGCCATAGTTTGCTGACCTGTGGGATACATAATTATATTATCTGTGAATAAGGGCATCTTCTTCCTTTCCAACTCATATACTTTTTCTGGTAAATATATATATTTTTATTGAAGTATAGTCAGTTTACAATATTGTGTCAGTTTCTGGTGTACAGCACAATACTTCAGTCATATAGGAACATACATGTATTTGCTTTCATATTCTTTTTCACCATATAGTTCCCTGTGCTACACAGTATAAACTTGTTGTTTATCTATTTTATATATATAAGTTAGTATCTGCAAATCTCAAACTCACAATTTATCCCTTCCCACCTTCTTCCCCTATTGATAACCATAAGTTTGTTTTCTATGTCTGTGAGACTCTTTCTGTTCTGTAAATAAGTTCATTTGTTGTTTTTTTTTTAGATTCCACATATAAGTGACAGCATATTTTTCTTTCTCTCTCTGGCTTACTTCACTTAGAATGACAATCTCCAGGCAAGTTCATATACTTTTAATTTCTCTGTACTACTGGGCCAGCCAGGACTTCCAGCTGGACGCTGAATAGAAGTGATGACAACAGGCATCTTCATTTTAAGGGATACTTCTTATGGATTCTTAAGGGGACTGCGTCTAAGGTTCGGCTTTCAGAATTACGTTTGCTGTAGGGTTTTCATAGATGAACTTCATCTGAAAGGTTCTGAAAGTTCATTTTTCTTCACAGTTTGCTAAGTCTTTAATCCATGAGTATTGAATTCTATCAAGTGCTTTTTCCTCAGCTACTGGATAAAACTTCCTCTTTGATCTCTTACTGTGGTCAATTATATTAATATATTTCTAGTACTAAATCATTTCTCACTCCTGAGATAAACCAAAGTTGGTCAGGATGAATTATCATTTTTTATAAATTGCTGGATCAGGTTTGCTAATATTTTATTTTGGATTTGTGTATCTAGGCTCTTAAGGGAAATTGGCCTATAATTTTTCTCTTATACTCTCCTTGTCTGATTTTGATATCAAGGTTATAATAGCCTCATGAATAAGTTGCAAGCGATAATAAATAAGTTACAGATGATAACAGTGTTTACTTCCAGGGAGGGGAACTGGGTGACCTGGGGACAGAGATGGGGGAAGACTGACTTTTCACTGTGTATCCTTTTTACCTTTCAAATTTTATAAAATACATGACAAAACGGAGAATTAAGAAATGAGAACTTAGTCTTCATTTATAAAATAAGTATAATAATCTTTCTATGTCAAAAAGTTAGATGAAATAATATATATGGAAGTCCTTTATACATTTCATGCAAATTTTAAATAAACTTTCACCTAATACTTTACATATAATCACGCAAGTGCTAAATAATGTGATAAAAAGACAAAAAGGCTCCACAGAAATCAGAGTATTCAGAGAAGATACCATTACAGGCCCTTGCTCATGCTATATTGCCCTCTTCCCCATGATTTACTCAAATCTGACCCATCCTTCAAGACCAGGCTCAACCACCACCTCTGCCTGCCATCCACACTCTTCCCTTCACGTATCCTGCCCCAGTTCTGTATTCTGAAGGCCATGAGCGTGCACTTGTAATACAACTTCTCTTGTGTTGTTACCTTTTTGATAGATAACTCTTGTGCTGTTGTTTACTTTTCAGATGGTTATATCAATCTCCCCAACTGGTTTATGATTACTTTGGAGTGGAAATCATATATCATGCTTCTTTCTAATCAATACAGCATCTAGGGCTCTATGACATATTTAGTTGATATTTGATAATTACTGGTGGGATAAATGAATAAATGAACAAATGACAGAATGAATAGTGAGGCAATGTTAAGCTAGCTCTTAAAGGATTGCTTAAGAAAAAAAAGCACATTTCAGGTGAAAGAAATAGCAGCAGAAACTGTTACAGAGACTAGAATTAACAGTGTATATGTATGCAGAGGCATGTTTGTGTGTGTGTGTGTGTGACATGGGGTTGATTATAAATTTGGCTGAAAGAGAATTCTGTATCAGGAAACACTGAGAGGTAAAAGAAGGAAAGAAGCCAATGACAGGCTGACAGGCTAAAGGAATGAATCCACTCTAATAGATAATAGTGAGACACTGTATTTTCTCTACTTCCTAGTTATGAATTTTAGGTTTAAGTAAGCAGCGGAGATAACCAGCAAAATTAAGAAAAGGAGCTATGGCATGCTAAAGTATTTAATGATGAGATGATTTAATATCTGGGATTTGCTTTAAAATATTCCAGGAAAAAATTAGAGAAAATAAAAGCAAACTTGGTGAAATGTTGGTAATTGGTGAAGCTGAGTGCTGATGAGTACACAGGAATTCATAAAATTAAATGTTCTACTTTTGTGTTTAAAAATTTTCACTAAAAAAGGGTATGGGGAGTAATCCTGGTAAAACAGTAAGAGTTTAGGTCAGAGCATAATTTGTTACAGCTTAGAAAACAATTATGTACTAGGGTGTGCACTCCCTAAAAAAATGTAAAGAAGAAAAAAGTCACTTCTGAAGGCAAGTAAGACAAAAATAGGGGGTATTGATTAATATAAAATGTTAATATAAGAAACAAAGAGTCAGAAGACTCTGAAGGGAATCAAATGTGTTGGTGCCTGCAGTCAAAGCTACAGTGTTAGGATGGGTATCTGTCTCTACAAGGATGAGATTCTGACTGCGCAGTCAAAATAGACTACAGTTAGCATAGGGTCAGAGAAAGGAGTTATTGATACATTTCCCATATGCTTTAGTGATCAAAACTATAGTTCATAAAGGACCTAAAACACCCTGGGAGAACTCACAAAAGATGACAGTGCTTCTCTAAGTTCTATAATTTTTTTGTTTTAAAAGTATGTAAGAAAATCCATCCTAAAGTTTCTGCTTTTAGTTCGAATTTTATGACCCTGCTATCATTATAATTACAGATTTAATAAACCTATCTCATTATCTCATTAATTAAAGCTCAAACCACTAGATTAAAGGAAAAAAACCACAATGCACAAAGGTTTACACAGACATCAAAGAAAATAAAGGAAAATTGCTTACCGTAAGTGACCAGGAGAAGCACAAAAGGAATGTTTTTGAATAGATTCCTTATTGATTTCACATAGGAGTACTTTTCAGGGGGACTGTCCTGGAGAACTGCTTGAGCCTGACTTGGTGGATACTGAGGTTTTTCTTTGAATGCTGAAAACATACATGAAAAGGTAATTAAGTATATGTGTCTTCCTTAGTAAGGAGACTAAATTCAGGTTAAGTTTAAAAAGGTAGTAAAAGGTTTTATAGAGAGGTTTTTCATTGTCACTAATTTCTAAGTGAAGAATAGTTTGGTATTATCATCTCAACCTGCTGAAACTGACTAAAACGCATGGATTTGGCCAATTCACACAACTGAACTGCAAAACCATCAATACTGTGTTACAACCTTGCCCAGTGATTATTCCATTTTTAGTTAAGCAAGATTAATTTTTATTATATTAAATATTCAATAATTCTATTTCTAAAGTTGGTTCAATGTTTAATTAGAGGTAACATTAGATATGAGCAAGCCAATATGTTATTGAACTTTTTAGAGGACTGTCTTGTGTTAGTAGATATTTGCTTCTGAAATTTGACATAAAGTTTATCATCTGACCCAATTACCCTTCTAGAACTGAAAATGTCAAGGTGGATTCATGGGAGCAGAGCCAGGTCCTGCTTGCTGACTCACTGTAGCTGCATATGGAAAATCCAGGGGTAGAGCTGAGAGACATAAAAGTGTGACATCTGGCTTTTGGTACTGTAAGTTCTAGCTCTGCGCATTTCTCTGGAGTTAAGAGATAGATCTCACAGCTTCTCAGCTAGACATTTAGAGACTGCCTTGCTGCTGGGCAGGGAAGGATCTACTAACTTCTAACAGATGGCTAGGGAAAGATTTCTGTAGGGTTTGGCTAGCCAGGAGTCAAGACTTCTTGAGAGAAGAGCTGATCTGCTAAGATTTGGCTCATCAGAAATTAAAACTTAGTTTTAGTGTTGACTCAAAACTTTAAACTAAAATAGATGGAAAATGCTCTATTTCACTGAATCTAAGACAGTCTGATGTTAGCACTCAGTGATCTTGGCAGGTATCAGCAGAAGGTTTTAACATAACCATGTCTCAATTGCCAACAACATTATATGTCGTTGATTTTTTTTTTATTATTGTGGTAAGAACATTTAACATGAAACCTACCCTCTCTTAACAAATTTTTAAGTGCAAAGTAAGTACTGGTAAGTACAGGCATAACGTTACACAGCAGGTTTCTAGAACTTTTCATCCTAGATGCCACTGATTGCTTATTAAAGGTATCTCAATTTAAGAGATTTCAAGAAAAAAAATGTACACTTGAGAATACATGAAATAGGGTAAATTCAAAAGCCAAAAAAGAAAGTAAATAGATTCAGAAGAAAGTTTGTTTTAAGAAATATTAGAATTTCCTCTTTCTCTTTTTTCTTTCTTTTTAAATAGTGGCTATTTCCTTCTTTCAACAAGGAAGGCCTGCTTTGTAGTCTGAAAGTGTGCTAGATCTGATGGACCTGACTGTCAAATTGCAATCATGTAGAAATTTTAAAATAATACAGATTTTGAGATTCTACCCACGGCTCAATGAACCAAAACCTCCAGAGGAGAACTTGAGAATCTGTATTAAACACAAAACTCAAACCCAGTCAGGTTTTTAAATCACTGCAAAATAAAGAAATGGTCCTTAAAACTTCCATATATTGTAAGTCTGATCTCCTGTTTATTGCTAAAAATTTAAAAGTTACAGTTCTTGCTTATCAAAACACTGATTCATTATGATATAATAAAACATCAAACTAAAACAGACTTCTGTTTTTACAGGTTTCACAACTAATTCAAGAGGAGACATAACTCATAAATATTTACTTTTAATGTCCTTACTTTGGAGGACTGACAGACACATGTTTAAGTTGTTGCAATTCCTCCTCGTCCTTTCACCCTATGTGCTCCTTGCACTGTTGAGGACATCTGTTGTCCTTTCCTGAAAGTCTCTTTGTATCCTAGTTAAGTTAGGAGATATCTCTTTTTATTAATATTGGTAAAGCAGAACTCACACGGCTGTAAAACAAAGTTTCAGAATGTAAAAACTATGTTTACAAGGTAGTCATGGATATTGAATGAGTTTTAAGTTTCTTACTTTTTTATTTGCTATGGTAAAATAAGTCTAAATGGCTCAGATTTGAACTTAAATGCAAAATGAAAACAATTTCTACTAGTTTTTAACTCCACTAGACTTATTTTTTTGAATGCAAGTGTTATCTTTTAGTTTCAGGAAGTCAATTATCCTCTTGGACAGAATTAGCCTGTATCTACATGCTACACAATATAGTAAAGTTGAGCTTAAGTCTGAAGAAAAAGAAAAAGGAACAAAAACGTATTGGTCTATGACCCTGTTTACGTTGTATTGCTCCTTTCAAAGGATGAAATATGGCATTTTCTTTCTCTCTCTCTCTCTTTTTTTCTTTCTCTTTTAAAACTGAAAAACAATTGTTTTCTTCTACCCTCTTCTCCTCTCCCCACCAAAAAGTTGTGCCAATAAAATAATTAACTGTTAAAACAGTTATTATCCTCCTTTGGCAAAGGGCATGGAAAGCAGCCAAAGGATTTTGGGTATCACATTGAAACTTTTTCTCCCAGGATGAATAAGTAGCAAATCTATTGTGTTTAGGGTCACTTCTATTGTCTGAAATTAGATTATAATATTATCTTTTGATTTCATTATTTATGCCTGTGTGATGCAAGCAGACATTGTACATATTAACATATTTTAAGACAAACATAGGTTTGAATCCTGGCTCTGCCTCATCTCACTGTATGATTCTGAATTCTGAAGTCAATTCCCACCTCTCAGCTAAAGTTTCTCATCCATAAAATGCAGACAATAACAACCAACTGCTATGAGAATTATATGATATATGTAAAGGAGTCTTGTAATTACTGACTACTACACAAAATATACTGTCTTTTTTGAGGAATATTTATCTTTAAAAATCAGAGACTTGGGCTTGAAATTCTTATAGACTAAGTAAAATGTATTTCTATTAAAGTTTATAATAGCAGCCAATATATAAATATCCTGAATATAAGAAACAAAAGTAAAATTATGCGTACATGTTATATACTCATGTGTTTAAATACCTTAGTATTAAATATTTTGACTGCCATTACTTCTAGTTTCTGTCATCCACTCATTTTAGTGAATCAGCATGGTAAGGACTTCAGTTGACATACTTAAGTGATATAGTTTACTGTTCTCTGTAAGAACAGCTTTCAAGTACGACAGCATTACCACTTATATAAGAGGAATTTGAATTGAAACAAAAAATAAGGCTAAGTAAAAATTAAAATGACATATTTGTATATGCATCATTTTATTAATGGAGTTAGACTGCCTAGGCTCATATTCCCCTTTAGTATTTACTAACTGTGACGATGGGTACATTAAATTTACTTAAATTCTGTGTCCCAGTTTCCTCATCTGTAGAATGGGAATAGTAACAGTACTACCCTTAAAGGGCTGTGAGGATTAAATGAAATACAGTGTGAAGTGTGGTTTTAAAAATGTTTGGTACATATCAATCAAACGTTAGAGAGCATAATCGTGTTCTCTCAATAAGAATGGGGTATTAGTATGAAATTCAGGAGGCTGGGGTTAATTCCTAGAAATGCTAGATGGCTCACACTTACATGTAAACTCCATGAGGAGAGTGATAGGATTACACGCATGAACCCTTATTACATGCATGAAACCTCAAGAGAGTATTTTAGAAAGACTGCTGGATACTAATTTGGTATATGTGACATTGCTGAAAAGCATCAGCAAAACTAAATTATTTTACAAGATTTAGTTGGGCTTCCAAAGTATTTCTGGGTAGAATGTAGAGGGAAGTAGGATTGTCTCTTAGTAATTAAGGAATTTAAGGAAATAAGGATTTTTAAAATAATCTATATTCTCCTTCATAGCAAATATATTTCATTAGGAAAACAGATAAATTTTTAATTTAAATGTCACAATTTTCAACCAAGACTTTTATATCACAACTGTGTATTATTTTGCTTTTATACTATGTTTGGTATATTACAGGTCACCAAGCAAAACTTGACAATGAAGCTTTTTCTCCCTATTCCCTTTCCATTCTATTTCCCCTCCCCCCAGCTTCCATTTCTACTGTCTACTCATAAACCATGAGTACATAAATAAGTAAGTATGTACAGAAATAGCTCTCTTTTACTTTCTCAAATAACACAGGGTAATATGCTAATAACCACACCTATTGTTTTTTTTTGTCCCACTCCTTGACAAATAAAAATGTTCTACTTTTATTTTTAGCATCTCATACATATACATATGTTTAAACACAAATGTGTCATATATATAATTTCATATCTATAGATATATACAATCTATTATTCTCTCACTTCTTCTAAAGAGACAAACAATTGAAGGCAATAAAAAAGGAAAACCAGAATTTATTTGATGATACATAAACAATCAAAGGAAAGAGGATTTTATATTTTAATAATCCCTATTGCTAATAGAAGGTCCATTTATGCAAAATATACATAAACTATACTTCATATTTCATCTAGCAAATCAAATATGGCTACCAGAAAAGTGGATGTAAGAATTTGTTTTTGAAAAATATACATTTCTTTTAAAACTGCTAAACTGCCAAAACAGTACAGGGATAGTTTGTCCTTTTTCAATAGTCAGCACACAGCAAATGTGCCACTCCTTAACTGAAACATAAAAACCAAACATAAGTAGATTGGACATGTCTGAATACTTTAAAGGCTACCAAGAGAATATTTTGTTCATTATCTCAAGGGAAATTAAATATGTGGGCTGGGTTTCCTATACCTGAATCCAGCAACTTCATCTCTAAAGGCAGTCTCTATCAAAACACTCCATAGTCTTTAGCACACGTTTTCTTCGAAAACTGAGGATTTCATATCTGGTGATATGAATTTTGAATTTTGAAACTTGAATTTTTCATTACTATTATAACCATGGTAAAAATTAATATATAAATTTTAAAACTCCAGCTACAATGCAATTTAACTGTAAAATGTTTTTTAATTATAAAATTTAATGATTATAAAAGATGACCTTTCAACTTTAAAATTCCTTTCCTCATCAAATCAATTTAAGATTTACTCAGTGCCCAAAGGGCAACAGTCTAATGTTAGCAGCTTTATTACTTAAATCAGCTTTACTTATCCTTTCCCCTGAAGTCAAAATTGTTTCCCATTAAAAGTAAACTTTAAAAAGCCGACCTTCCCAAACCTTCTTCCAAAATGATGATGGCTGCTTGCAGCTGATTTTGACTGGCCGCTTCAAGAGATAGGCCCGGACGAGAGGACTCAGGGACGAATGGTGGCAGCAGTACTTTGCTGGAGTGGCCTAACAAGCAGATAGTTGCCACAGTTTGAAATTCTGCTGAACAGCTTTGCTGCTGCTCAGGAGCATTCACTGGTCAACATTTCAGACCCAGTTAATTGTTAAAGTGGGGATCCTTAGGAGGACTTATCATTTAAAGGCAGGTTGTAGCCTATTTGCATCATTTCAGAGCATGACAAGAACTTGTTCCTGGCTGGGTTAGCGTAAGATGCAGAACATCTAGACTAATATGCAAAGACGAGGCAGGTGTTACGTTTGAAACCAACAGTTATCAGGGAAGAAAAGTTAGTAGGGAGATAAATGAGATGAATTAGTCTTCAAAACCTTTACAAAATTAAAACAGATGTAGTGGACCAGAACATAACCCTAGGGTTGTTGCATTCATTACCTAAATAAGAAAGTGCACAGCAAGAATGAAACAAGCAAATAGCACTTGAGATGCTATCAATACAAATCTTCAGGGTCCGTTATTTTTATTTTCATATGTTTGTCATGCATTACCTATTTAAGCTATAGGAAAAAGAACTCACTTACCAATTACTGTTAAAATAAATAAAAGCGTGGCGACGGCTGACGTTCCATAAAACATGATACTGATATTACAAGCCAGAAGTTCTGTGTTATTCTGTGTATTGGGCACCAAAACTGGTGGTAGCAAAAAGCCAACTGCAGTTCCAAGCTGTAAAATAAACAGTCCTGTTAATTCTTTCTTCTTATTATAAAAGAAAAGAGTACGTACTGGCAATTAATGCAATATAAAGATGACAGCTAGTATATGTAAGATGCCTTTGTAAACTCTAAAGCACCATGTTCTAATTTTTTTTTAACCATTGTACTGTTAAAGAAAAATTGCTGCAGGAGGGTATAGCTCAAGTGGTAGAGTACATGCTTAGCATGCACAACATCCTGGGTTCAATTCCCCAGTACCTCCTCTAAAAATAAATAAATAAACCTAATTACCTCCCACCCCCCCCCAAATCGCTGACAAATGTCTTCTCTAATCAATAACATTTACTAAACTTTAATCACCAAAATGATGCTGAAATAAATTTGTGTTAAGATACAGGCTACTTACAATCAAAAAGGGAAATAAGAATACACACACCAAAAAAATGCTAAGAAAAGACAGCCTACAGAACGGGAGAAAATATGTGCAAATCATATATTTGATAAGGCTCTACTATCTAGAATAAATAGAGAACTCTTACAACTTAACAGCAAAAACACAAACATTCCAGTTCAAAAATGGGCAAAGGACCTGGATGGACATTTATTCAAAGAAGATATACATGTGCCTGACAAGCACATGAAAAAATGCTTAACTTCATTAGTTACTGGAGAAATGCAAACCAAAACCACCATGAGATACTTCATACCAACTAGAATGCATATAGTAAAAAAAAGAAAAACAGAAAAAAAAATGCTGGCACAATATGGAGAAATTGAAACCCTCATACACTGCTAGTAAGACTGTAAAATAGTGCAATGTACAGGATAGGTAAACAACAAGGTCCCTGTATAGCGTAGGGAACTATATACAATGGCTTGTAGTAACCTGTAATGAAAAAGAGTATGTATATATATGTGTAACTGAATCACTGTGCTATACACCAGAAACGAATTCAACATCGTAAATCAACTATATACCTCAACCAAAAAAAAAAAAAAAAGAAAAAGATTGTACAATAGTGCAGTCACTGTGGAAAACAATTTGACTGTTCCTTTAAAAGTTAAACATATACCATATGACCTAGCAACCCCTCTCCTAGGTATGCAACCAAAAAACCTGAAAGCAGGTCTTAAATATTGTACCTGAATATCCACAGCAGCCCTATTTGCAATAGCCAAAAGGTGGAAACAACCCACATGTCCTTCAATGGACGAATGGATAAACAAGATGCGGTGTGTCCATCCAACGAAATATTATTCAGAAAGAATGAAATCCTGATATACACTGCAACATGGATGAACTGTGAAAACATGTTAAATGAAAGAAGCTGGACACAAAAGGTCACATGTAGTACGATTCTATTTATGTGAAATATCTAGAATAGGGAAATCCATAGAGAGCAAAAGCAAATTAGAGATTGCCAGGGGCTAGAGGGTGGGAGGGATAAGGAGTGACTGCTAAGTGAGTGCTGGGTCTTCTCTGAGGGCAGATGAAAATGATTTGGAACTAGATAGAGGTGATGGTTGCACAACACTGTAGAAGTACTAAATGCCGTACACTTTTAAATGATTAATCTTATGTTATGTGACTTTTATCTCAGTTTAAAAAAATAAGGCTGACTATGATCATCACAACAAGAAAACTAAAATCAAAGTATTAAAGGAGGCTCACTGGGGAGAGACATCAGATTCTTTAGGGGATGGAGGTGAGAAGGATGGGCCCAAGATAGGCTTCAAAAAGGAGGCTGAGGCAGGGAGAGTTTACCAAATATTTCATTTGCTTTCTTATAAAAAGCTGGATAGAGACAATTAAACAGGTAAGGATGAGAGAGTGTGGTTAAGAGCAGTACTGTGATGGAGGGGTAGAGGTGCCAAAACCAGGAAGATCATCCAAAGAACACTGCTCAGAATGAAAGGGGCTCTATGAGCAGTTGAGCTGGACAACAGGGGTACACCTGGACTATTCCAAGCCAACTGGAACATATGGTCACCTTAGCTAAGACAATACTTTGGAGGACCACCTTGTAGAGACTTGGGTTCAGGAAAAATTTCTGGAGGAGCAAAGATCTGAATGAGAAACTGGAGTTAGCCAAGTGAAGTAGAAATGTTCCCAGCCAAGAGGACAGCATGTACAAAGGAAGGAGAGAGCATGACCTTGTGAGAAACTGTAAGTAGTGCACAATTCCCCTCAGAGCAAAGAAACAGTCTGTACGTGAGGTATGGGGGCTGTGCAGAAAGGTGATGCTGAGGAACTGGTGGGAGGCAGACTGGAGGGACTCACTTCTTCACATTAGAGACTTTGAACTTTATCCTAAAATCAATGGAAGTCACTGCAGGGGGCAAGGGAGTGTGCAAGACAGATCTGCACATTAAAAATACTATACTGGATGAATGTGGAGAACTGAGGGAAGAGAGCAAAAGCTGTGGACAAGAAACTGACCAGTATCTATGAGTCTGAAGCTTATTCATTCATTCAGTAAATTTTTATGAAGAATTACAGGCACTATAACAAATGCTGGTGATACAATTCTGTACATTCAGACCAGGTACCTATTTCATGAAACTTAAAACCTAACAGTACGGATGGGAGATAAGTAATAATGAACTATTAACATATAAACATAAATCTATCAGATGGTGATAAGCACTACATAGAGAATTGAAGTATAATGATGTAATGAGAGTGACTGGGCAACTTTAAATGGGATCCTCAAGAAATTCCCCTGAATGATATTTAAGATGAATTTAAACTGATAGCTGAGTGACAAGAAGGATATAATGTGATCTGAGGAGGAAGAACATTCCAGGCAGAGAGAATGATTCTGCAAAGGCCCCTATGCAAAATGCAAGTTTAAGGAACCAAAGACATCTTAGTAAGGTTTTGTAATCCAGAGTAAACCATTTAGGTTTTATTTTAAGAACTATAGGAAATCATTGGCAAGTTCAAAGCAGAATAATGACATGATCGGATCCATGTTTTATAAGGTTCTCTTGGGTTAGTGCCTTGGCAGTGTAGATGGGTAGTTAAAAGATAGGGTTCAGGAATCAGACCTGAGTGTGAATGCCGCCACTAATTAGCTGTGGGACTTTTGGAAAGTAATTTCATCCCTTCAAGTCTGTTTCTGTACGTATAAAATGAGGAGACTAATATTTCCTACCTTACATAATTAAATTAAATGAAACAATGTGAGTAGCATGGTGCCAGGTTCTTCGTGAATGCTCAGTAATGTTGACTGTAACTATGAAAGATCACTCCATAATCTAGGCTGAAGATGCATACTTGGGGGTCATAAGCAAGTGCACAGCTACTGGAGCCAAGGGAGAATGAGAACACTTAGGGAGGATGTAGGAGGAAGGCCCAGAAGTGTGCTAAGTTTTAGAGGGAAATCTGCCTATGAGAAAAATTTTTATTTATCATCCATAAAATACATAATCCATAGATATGGAGTTGATAATATATTTCTATTATGCTCAATGAAGTATTAATCGAGTGTAATTTTCTAAATGTAAAATACTTTCAGGAAACAGTTCTTATCAAACATGCAGAAGTAACCAATAAAATATCAGTCACAAATTATTCTGGATGTACAACTATTATTTCAAGCTATTCTTTTTGCACTTTTAAAAGAAGTAAACATACAGCAATGACCCTACACGTAGAGTTAGTCTTTACATGGGTTTTCTTTGGGGGGGGGGATGGAGGAGGTTTATTAGGTTTATTTATTTATTTTTTAAAATTTATTTTTAGAGGAGGTCTTAGGGATTTAACCCAAGACCTCTTGCATGCTAAGCATGTGCTCTTCCACTTGAGCTATACCCTTCCCCTTACATGGATTTTATATAAATCTTACTGTGATCTTGAAACAAGTGTTAGACTGGAAGTGAGAAAGTAACATTCTTTTGTTACACAGCTACCTGTAGTGATGTATAGAGAGGTGAAGTTTTTGGTATATGGATTTGTAACTTGATTCTCCTCAAGTTGAATGAACACTCAATATAATTTACATAAAATATCATAGGACTCCATATGCAAAATTTAAACTATACTAAAAGAACCACTCTACAATTAAGGGGAAAAAAAAACCACACACACAAAACATTCTACCTAAAAATGCTACTAGAATGCTAACTGAATTTGAACTATGATGCTGGCAAAGACTAGGAGATACCTTAATAGAGACTTGGCAAAATAAGCCACCCTTTTATTACAGTGGATTCCATGATCTGTGATTTGTGTTGCATTTTCATACTGTTAAAAATTAGTAATTGGACTCAGTAATGCTGTGAGGTCTTTATCACCAGAACACTTACTTAGCAATTATTTATACATGTCTGTTATGTTCCAGATACCCTGCTGACTGCTAATATGTAAGATTAAACAGGAGCTGTTCATGTTGACCACTCAAAATAAGAACAAACATAATCAAACATCTTCTTTTCACAAAAAAATACTGGTGACAAAAATAATACCTACCTTAGTCTTATTCATCATTGCAATGACAAGTTTTTTATGACATTAGGCATACATGGGACAATACAGTTAATAATTTTATAGGTAATTCTCGAAGATGACAAGGCGATCATTTTAAACTGGTTTTGAAAGTTCTGTCTTTACAAGTAAATTAAAACCCCTCTTTAATCCAAGACTGCTTCCTATTTTATGACTACCCATCTCCTCCCCTTCATTTATAGAATGCCTCCTCAGGGTTCATCCATATGCCTAGCTCACATGGTCTACGACTTTTTATCTGGTCCTTAAGGATCCGATTTTCATCCATCACCCTAGTCCTTACCTGATTACCTAGCACAGCGGTGGCACAAGCTGTGGACACCTCCTTGGGCCCAAACCACACTGAGGCGATGTGGGAAGGCAAGCCGAGGATGAACACCTGGGCCACGGAGCACAGGCACTGGCCCATCATGGTGACCCAGAAGAGATGCTGCTGCACGCTGCCGCACTTGATCCAGGCGCCCAGGCAGTTGAGGCCGGAGCCCAGCAGGGCGGTGAGCCGCAGGCCTCTGGTGTCCAGCAGCCAGGTGGCCGGGAAGATGAGGGGCACGTAGGCCAGCATGTACACCATGGACAGCCAGTCGATGTGCAGCGAGGATACATTGTAGAAGTTCTCGAAGACGTTGCTGATGATGCTGTACTGGATCCACTGAAAGGCGTTCACTAGCGAGTACAGGCTGAAGATCAGCAGCACCACAAAGCGCCTCGGGGAGAGCGCCGTCCGCGGCACCAGGGTGTCCTCGGCCCCCGGGGTCTCCTCGCCGGGGCCCCTGGGCAGCAGCCAGGCCTGGGTCTCCTCCTCCGGGGCCGGCGGAGTCTTCGGCCTGTCCAGGGCTCCGGAGGTCTCCTTGGGGCTACCCCGAGAGACCGCATTCAGGGCCAGGGAGCCGGCTTTGGGCCCGTTCTGCGTCTCCGCGCTCACCTTCCCGGCGGGCGCTTCCCCGGGGACCGGGAGGTATCCTATTGCGGGCGGGTGCCCGGGTACCACCGCTGCCCCCTCCTCCTCGTCCGGCCGCGCCATGTCCCTGGGCTCCCCGCCCTCCTCCCAGGCCTGCACCCCCGGCCCAAGACCCGAAGCCCTCCCGGCACCCCAAGCCCAACCCTTTGGCCCACCGCTCCTGCGACTCGTTCCCCGGCAGAGTGAGTCCGGGTGGGAGCCGGGAGCCGGGGAGCCGGGGAGCCCGAGCCGCGAGCCGCGAGCCGCGAGCCGGGCTGCCTGAGTCAGCAGGAGAAATCGTCGTCCGCGCGCGCGGCCGGAGCGGCGACCACCCAGCGCGAGGCCCGGCTGGAGAGCGCAGCGTCACTGCGCGGTGACGGCCCGCAGGCCAATCAGCGGGCTTCGGGGAGCTTCCGTGAAGGGCGGGGCGGGAGCGAGTTCGCCGGGAGGCAGAAGAGGAAGGCCAGCCGGTGTGCGAGGCTCGGCGCTTTCCTCTTGAATGGCTGCGAAAACCCGAAGCCTTCCGCCCTGCGGTTGGCCGGTGGGAAGCAACCGGCGGGTTGGGCAACTCGGGACTGGGAGCGAGGGGGTGGGAAAGACAGCTGGGAGACAAAGAGGCAGACATCAGCGTCTCCACCGTGAGGGGCTCCCCTTGGGCTGCGTCCAACACTGGCTGAGAACGAATTCGGCCTCTTGGCCCAGAGCAGCCGTCCGTCAGCATCGGACCCTGCCTTTAGAGCAGACAGGACCACGTTTCGTAAATGAGTGCTATCTCGGCAGAGGGAAAACATCAGAAAGCGTTCTAATCCAAACAAAGATTTCTTCAGAAACCTTACGAAATTGGAATCTCCTCACCCCCACCTCGCTGACGTCTGAGGCGAGTGAGACATGTGTGAGCAGGCTCTGTCGTTCAACATTCTCCCTTGGGCCAGCACTTGTAGTTAGTATTTACTGCACACACTTATTCAGCGGGTTCCAGGCACCAAACTTGGTTTGAAAGGTAACAGACACTGTCATGGGCTCTGGGGAATGAAAAATAAAACATCAGACATAGTCCATCTTCTCAAGAGCACACGTAGTCTTATGAGTCTTCCTGGGCTAGAGGAAAATCAGTCCTGCTACTTCTTGGGAAACTAATTTTGAACGAGGGGGGGGAAAGGCTGCAGACATTGTTAAAATGAAATTGAAACTAGAGGTATCTCACAATGAATTTAATCTTAAAAAGTACTGCTGTTTGGAACCCTAAACCTGATACACTTTCTTTTTATTGCCTCTTAACATTATTATTTTGGTAGTACATAAAATGTATGTCAGATCCCTCTCAGTATAGGTGAAATGTTACATGATCCTGAACTTTAAGGAACGAGTACATTTTAATGTTTTCCTTGGTCATCCTATATAAATTGCACATCCCTTCCCTGCTTAGTTTTTCTTCTTAATGCTTCGCCGTGTCTAAAATGTCCTATATTTTACTTATTTTTTTTCTGCTTATTTTCTCCTTCCTCACTAAAATACGTTCCATGAAGGCAGGGCTGAAAGTTTCGTTACTTTGCTGCTGTTGCTATATTCTGAGAACCTGAAACAGTACCTAGCAGTAGGTATTCAATAAATATTTACTGAATGGCTGCAACTAGCAAGCATTGAATATTTTTAATAATTACTTACTTTGTAAGTGAAACCATTTCTTTTTAAAAAAACTTATACATTTTCTCTGCAAATATGACTTTCTAACATTGATTTAAATATTTTAGATAGCTGAGTAATGTTCCCTGAACAAACAAATGACTAAGTGTGGAATCCAAAGGACTTCAGTTTTGGTTAAGAAGTTTCTTTTATGGATTTCTGAAAAGTGAACTTGCACTGCATAATATTCAGCACAACTTATTATTCAATATTCTGGGGTATTTATTTATACCTTCATGTACCATGAAACCTATATAGCTCACAAAGAAAGCTGTTCAGAAAGGGAATCCAATTGTGCTTACGTTACACTGTGAGGTTAATATTCTTCACGACTAATTCTAGTTCAGGGGTTAGCAAACTTTTTTCTGTAAAGGACCAGACAGTAAATAATTTAGGCTTTACAGGTCTTATGGTTTCAGTCACAACTGTTCAACTTCAACATAGGGCCAAAGCAGACATACAGAATATGTATATGAAAGGGTGCAGCTGTGTTCCAAAAAGAAAAAAAAAAAAAAAAGAAAGGAAGAAAGAGAATCCATTGGGTAGAATTTTATTTTATTTTTGATTCTTTTTTTTTTTGTTTTTGAAGTATAGTTGACCTACAACACTATATTTGTCCAGGTGCACAACATAGTGATCCAATATTTCTATACATTAGAAAATGATCACAATGGGTAGAATTTAAATGGACTTTTCTTTACTTGCCCCAGTAGTACCTCCAACTCACATGTTCATAGTAAACATTCAGGTATCTGCAAACTTCTCACCCGCTTCCAGAAACCAAAAACTGGCAAACTATATTAGGCCTCATTTCCCCATTATCCAGTGAAGGTTGGAGATAGTCTTCTGCCAGATTGGGAAGATAACTTTCCTTTCTGCACAGGAGCAGCTTCCTGAATGTACTTCTGCAGGGAGGCCATTCTTTCTGATTGTTTAGGCTCCTTCTGTTTAGAGATTATTTGTCTTCTCTGTGTCCTTAGCAAGAAGGATTGAGGTTAGGAGTCCTCTGGGTGTCCTGGATACCAGTTAGCGTCTAATTTACCAGCTTTACCTACCTTATTCTTGCTCACTTTGTCATTTGCCTTCCCTGCACTTAACAAAGCTCTGTATCTGACACTGTCATCATCTACATGGAGCGTATCACCAGGAGGATCTAAAGTAGTGGAGAAGAGTATCAGATCTAGAGCCAGGCTATGTAGAGTTGAATTCCAACTTCAGTACTCACTAGCTGTGCAAACTTGGGCAAGTTACTTAGCTGCTCTGTAATGCCTCATAAGACTGTTATTATGAGAATTAAATAAGTGAATAACACCTGGCTCATGGCTTAGGCATTCTTACAGTTACTAAGATAGTCTACCCTGGTGGTTAAGGCTCCAGGCTCCAGAGCCAAATGGCCTGGATTCAAATCCTAGCTCTTTGACTTACTAGTTGCATGACTTTGGACTAGTTACCCTGTGCCTGGAAAATGGACAACTGGAAAATGAGGACAATATTCTTCATGAGACTGTTGCAAAGAAATAAGTGGCTAGTAGGAGAGGGTATAGCTCAGTGGTATGGTGCGCGCTTTGCATGCACGAGGTCCAGGGTTCAATCCCCAGTATCTTTGTTAATTAAATAAATAAACCTAATTACCTCTCCTCCTAAAAAATTTTTTTAATTAAAAATTAAAAAAAGAAAGAAATGGCTAATAAACATAAAGTACTTAAATGGTGCCTGACCCTGATACATAGTAATACTCAGTAAAACGCTATTCATAGCCATTATTATCAACTTCTGTCTCCTCAAAGTCATATCTCACTCTCGTATTATCTTGGATTTGATCCCATCTAGTCTATTTAAACCTGCTTGGATTGTCCTGGAGATACTCCAAGTTCTTTTAGACTTACGATCTAAAATTTACTGTGGTAGAGCCCCTCCCTGGAGGGTGCTCTAAGGATGTCCCTAAAGGGGCTGCCTTTTGTATATGCACACAATGGTATATACTAATTACCCTTGGCCTAACAAGAGGAATATTTCTTATCATCGGAAGTGGCCAAAAGTTGAATGGACCACCATTTGATATATCTAGACAAGTTAGATGATATCTATGTTGAACTAAGTATGGTGTGAATAGGATTCCTGAACACCATGGAAAACTGAGCTGTGTGAGATCTAAGGTTTCTTCTGACTTAAAGTTTCTATGATTTATGAAAGGAAAATATGATATTTCCGATGAAAGGACTTAACGCAAGTCATATACCTATTTCAACAAAGTTCCATAAAGTAACAAATGGAGTACAGAAAGGCAAAAACTCAACAGTATCTCTTTGTGGCAACCTTGCCTCCTTTCTCTTGAGGCTTCAGTGGTAGATACTTATTAACCAGTTTAGGCATGAGTCATACTTTCTATCATATGTTTGGATGTATAACGTAACATGAACCTTAATCTCTGCTAGAGAGGACAGGGCTGAGAACATTACCTGGCTGGGAGTCAAGCTGAGATTGAGCTACATTGTAGATGTGGAATGTGAAGCCTGAGAGAGACTGGAATAAGTAACAGTTCAGCTATACGAAATCTGAACCACACCCAGGAGCCAAGTTCCAACATTCTATTAGGAGTGATGTGGCTGTTCCCAAGCAAAGGTTTCCTGAAGTCTAAGAGGGCACGATACAAACCGGAAAGAGGCCACTAGATGTAAAATCCATGTTTCATGATTGGGGGTGGGGGTAGATATTAGCACCCTTGTTTTCAGTTGGCACAATTATTACCATGTTTGTTCACCTGAGTGGCCAAAGCCATGAGTTTCTACGCTGTGGAAAGGTTTAAGTTGGGCATAGAGGGGTGGAGGTGGCTGGAAATCAGAATCCTCCCATGTGTACTTTCCCCTCATTGAAGTGATGTCTTTGTATGTATGTATTACATTCCTAGAAAATGAATCCTAGGATTTTCCCTTCTGTGTGTTTTTGTTTGCTTTCTCTTGGTCCAGGATGCCAATTGAGTTCATCAGTACAGTGAAATTTCTTTCCTGCACGAAGCCAAGGACCCACACTTGGTGGAGCACATCCCAGGGACTCAACTGAGACCTGGATCATGGCCCTCCTCTCACTTCACACTCGTTTTTCCTGAATCATTCACACATTTACCCCTGACTGCCCCTTTACCCCCAGTCATGGTCATTTGAGCTTATTTTGTTTTTTAATGTTGAGGAGGGATTTTGTGCTCAGAAAAATAAAACAAAATAAGGTTACTTGTGTTAAAATCAATATCTAATTTATTAAAGTTGGTAATTTAAAATCTTTTACTTTAATAGTCCTTAAGCTTAATATATCCATTTAGTTATTTTGATATCTATAGATTTTATTTACAAACATAAATTTTGATGTAAAATTATCTATTACTTGGTTAATATTCAATTAATTTACAACTCTCACATGTCAAATAATTACACATTTTAATGCTATTTAAATTTAAATACATCTATTCGCAGTCTCTTAACCATTCTGAAATATAATAGCTGATTTTCTCAAGCTCTCCAAACATCTAACAAGGCTGCCTTAAAGCAGTGGTGTGCTGAAACCAGTGTGCACAAGCTTGGGAGAGTTGAGTGTATCTCTTCCTAGCTCAGCTTCATTGACATTACATTGGTAGCTTGAAACTGGCCATAATGGGGGTATTTATATGATGAAATTGGCAATTGCTACATCTACCAAGTCACCATTGCTAAAAAGCTAACAAAACAAATCATACAAAGCATGTAAAGCACTACTTACAAATTTAGTAAGTTCAAAGTTTTTGACTAAAATGAATTTTCTTAAACAGTGAAATACTGTTTGCAAAGAAACTGTTTTATAGCTGTGAGAAAATAGAAAAAAAAATATAGGTCTCTGCCCCCCCTACTTCCCCTATTCCCCCCACTTTCCCACTTCCCCTATTCCCCCCACTTTCCCACTTCCCCTATTCCCTCCACTTTCCCACTTCCCCCCACAGATCTCCTAAATTTCCTGTAATTTCCTAAGTGATAAGAGCACTAGGAGCATCTTTTGTTTTCATGTTTGGTCTTTGATCCTGGTTCC